AAAAACAAGAGGCTGTGAGTGAAAGAGAGAGYAAGGGCATGAGCTGTCCTGGGCCAGCACTTTTGGCTACTCCAAGTCTTGGTAAAAGAGTAAAACTTTATTAGTTCTGAAGCAGTGTGTTTCATGCTTTCTCAGAGCTCAAAAGAACCTTTGAAGTTCAGAAGAACCATGCAGTGGCCATGCCTGTGCAAGTATTTGCACTTTCTGCRCAAAAAGGCTTTCTGTGCCTGATTATTCCAGAGCCATTTTTGAATGTTAGAGGTGCTTTCATTCTGGCAAAYACCCAAATTAGTGCTTGTAGGGCTTTTTCAAACTGATGTGCAAGAAAATAAAGAACAATAGGCAATTTGCTATCTCTTGTGAGGAGGGGGTGGGAGAGCAGCTGRATATGCTATCTTGCTACTCCACATGGTCCAGCTCAGAGCTGAAGTGTGTTGCCACAACCCACTGCTTCCATGAGAAAGGAAAATATCTGAGTGCAGAGATTTCTGTTTCTCTACAGGTGGTGAAGCACAGACACCCTGTGACGATGGCATCTGACCAGGGCAGTGTGGGGATTCCTGTCTGTGCCAGTCAGGGCAGGGTCCGCCCTTGGCACACACTCAACACCGTTGCAATTTCACGTGTCTGTGCCTCAGTTACACGATGTGGGAGTGAACAGGCTGCTCCAGGACCCCCTACCTTCATCTTCCAGCTGAACTGGTGTGTGATTCCTCATGCAGGAACCCCTTGGTCAGTCTGTCACCTGCTTGCTGTGTCCCCATGTTTTATTATAACATCAGGACTCAATGGCCTGTGGCACTGGAAACAGTTCACAACTGTTTTTTACCTTGTRTTGCTTRCACCTATGCAAACTGGATTTAAAARTGTGACAGGCACATCAGAGGAAYCTTGAGAATGCCATAGGTGCACCTCTGTCCMCATGAATGCACAGTGTGAAGAACCCTGGTAGGGAACTGGCACTGATTGGACTTGACTCTCTTACCCTATATTTTGTGAATTATTATTCAAGATAAGAATACAAGATAAGAAATTATGCCTCAGTTTGGCTAGATTTAGCCACTAGATTTGGAGATGACTTTCCAAAATCCAGCCAATTTATCCTGGTCTTTCCTCCCTCCCTTTTTAAGTAAATTAGGTTGATTCTGTGCATTGATAAAGCTTCTTCAAATCTGGGATATTTTTTTGGCCGCATCCCTCCCTCCACTGGAAATAATGCACTCCCTTTCCCCGGTGCTCTCTGCGCCACTGGAATTCTTCATCAGCTCCTTTTCTGAGCATCTCTTGTCTGGGGCTCCATCCAGATGCCTYGGGAGGGAGAGCGGATTCTCTCAGAGAGAATCCAACAGTGCTGAATCACAGMGCTGTCAGACTGTCAGAGAGACAGTGCTGTGATTCAGCTGCTCTCAGGGATCTCCAAAATGGTCCTGTGCTCCCTGGAAAGTGCTGCAGCTGCCCATCAGGCTGCTTCSATGCCTCTCCAAAGATGTGGTCATCCCCCGCATCCAGGATAGCACAAAGGATGGGAARAGATAAACACAAACATTTAGCTGGCAGTGTGAGTGGTGGAAAGGATTTAATTTTCTCTGTGACAAGGCTTTTAAAAAAAATTCTGTGATTTCATTTACCCTTCCTGCTTTTCCTCTTTTGTAACTACAACAATTCAATGACTTTACTCAACACTTCCTTGGCTGAATGATAAATATAATTAGATGATGAAAATGACAGCAATAGTAATTATGAACACTACAAGAGAAGTTGCATTTGGAATGGAAAACTTTTTCAGCTTGTTTTTGGTAAATGTTGTATTTACCACGAAACATCACCATCTACAGCTGACTTGCACTGCTCATGGTCTCCTTCAGACAAGTGGTTAGACAAGTTTGGAGGCAGTGCTGGGACAGATGGACCTTCTCTCTAATGGATTACAGCTGTTCTCAGGCTCCTTTATTTTTCCACAGGAAGTAGCTTTGGAGTTTCTAAAAGTGAGTATGAGGAGCTAAAAAAAGCCCAAACCAACCATCAGTAATGAGCAGGTATTGCTTACATCCAAAAGATGTACCATCATTGAGGATCACATCCTGGATCAGTTTGAGGATCACATCCTGGATCAGTTTGAGGGCTTGATCTTTGAGCCCTGCTGGTGTCAGAGATGTCAGGTTTGTCATCCTGTGGAAACCCAGTTAAGCTGGATGAACTCAGCAGATTTTCAAAAACTACACACTTGCTTCTGGTAAATTTGTGCAGATGGTCCAATTATGTCAAGATGATCCATAGCTCTCACCCTATCAGAACCGGGGAAAGAGGGAAAATACAGAGTTGTTAATCTGAAAGGAACTAACAGTACTCAATTAGACCAGCTGCCTGATCACTTCAAGGCTCAACAAAAGCTAAAATATGCTGCTAAGGGCATTATTCAAATGCTACTTTAACACTAACAGGCTTGGAGTATTGACCACCTGTGAACTTCCTGTGAAGCCTGATCTCACTTCCAACAAACATACAATTTCTTTTTCTTTCCAAGGGGAGTTCCCTGTTCAGCCAAGCTGGTCTTCTTCCTGCTTGCTTGATTTAGGACWCAATGGGATTGCCTGCTCCTGTGTTTTTAAAAGATGGTTCTTTCAAACTGAGYAGCACCCATGGACACCTAAACACTCAAAACAGATTTCCAGGGGACACTGCTAAGTAGCTCCTTTAATAATTTCAAGTTGGCCCTCTGAAATATTTTTCTTCAATAAGAAAAAAAGTTGGGAAAATAATTTTGATTTTTTTTCATCAAAAATCAAAAAGAAATTGAAGACCAAACTGTGACTAGTTTGCTTCCCTTCCAGCTTTCTCTTATAAAACATATTTACTATTTGTGAGCTGCTTTGGTAAAGGGCAAGTCACGTAATTCCTGGAAAAGGATGACCTCAGGATATGAAAGACTGTAAAGTGAAGACAGATGAAAAATGAGGATCTGGGGTATTTTCTTTTGCATTTCTCTCCAATTTGCCATTGTTTGTGGAATATGTCTAGGTGCTGCTTTTGGCTGTACGTTTTCAGAACCAAAGCCATGGCAGAAGTAGCAAACCTGCCAGAGAAACCTTACCTAAGCATTCAGGCAATTATATGACACTTTAGAAATTTTTAGGCAGATTTTGAGTCTTATGTCCAACTTTTGCTTCCTCTGTTTTGTTTTGTTTTATTTTTTTTTGGGTGTTTTTTTTTTTTGTTTTGTTTTGGGTTTTTTTGGGTTTTTTTTCATAATACCACAGTCCCTATTAAAATTACCTGGGCGACAAATGATCGTTTGCCAGTCACACTTCCTACTGCTGACACTTCTGCTCACTTTGCATTTTTTAAAGTATGGGGAAGTGACCGCTGTTTCTTTGCTGTGTGAAGAACTTTGCTGGTACATTGGCAAGTTTTGKGTGCACCTTGAGATGGATGTTGCTGAATGCAGCCTATGAGATATGTACCATGGCATAAAACTTGACTTAATCCTGATCTCCAGGTACCTTTGAAGAATCGATGGACAATGCTGTTGTCCCTCTTGTTGCTGGAAGTGCCAGCCCATTAGAGAGCAGGAGCCACCTTACCCTGGATTAATAACCCAATATTAACACTGTTCTAGACTTTCATGACACTTCAGGCTGAAGTGGCGAATTTGGAGATGATGAAGTACTTTTGAATTCTAAAATAATTTCCTTTACATTTTCTATGGCTCTCCAGCATTCTGTTAACTGCAAAATATGTGCAGGTGCTACTGATTTTTAGTCCAAGGCAGTCTCGTAGCAATACAGGCCTCCATAACCCCACAGATCAGTTGTGGCCCTTCTTTCACAGCAGCTTTTCTGCAGACCTCCTCTTGTCAGGCTCAGAGGGCACCAGGACTGTTTGTTCTCCAGCTTTAACTSTAGCACTCAAATTACACTCACCTTACACTCTTTACATTGCTTGGCTCTAAAGTAGAAGTTTGTTTTTAAACTAGTTGAGATTTTGGTTGCACTGGCTGTGTCTTCCTTTGACTGTTGCTTTCACAGGTATCACAGGAGAAAATTAAATATTTCTAAGAGAACTGCCCTTTAATGAATAAATTGTTTAAATTGGTAGCTGAAATTGCATATCCTTTGGTGGATGATGATAAATGACTGATGAGATCTGAAACTTCTTGCTCRGCTTTTCTGCATCTGTCAGGACTAAATAAACAGTCATGCCCTGGTCACCCAGCCCTGTGCTCGGCGTGGAGGGGAACTGGCACAGCCCAGCTCAAATTCATGCAGCTCATGTCTTCTCCCACCAGTTACTGTCATCCCTTGCTCACTGCAATTTCCAGAACCATGCTGGAAAARTGCCTCTGGGAGGGTTGGCTGGGTTGGGTCCTGTTATCACACCCACATTGAGGAAAGAGATTGCAAGGGTAGTGGATGACCCTCTGGGTAGGAGTATTTGATACCTGAACTGGAGGAAAGKTTGTTTTCTAATTCCTGATGCAGGTTTTTCAACCATCAGTCCAAGACATTTGKGGTTTAAAAAGTTTTTTAAAAATCCAGCTCTGCATTTTGTAGCTCTTTGTTAACTTCATTAGAGTACTATTACATGAGTAAAATACAGAACTCACAATGAGCAAAATCTAATTWCAAACATTAGAAGATTTTGAATAAGCATTATATGAAAGAGACGAGTGAGGATAAATTTAGTTACTGTGTTCCCATGCTCGTTTCAGTCCCATTCATCCTGCTATTGCCTTCTTAGACAATATTTCAGCATAAAAAAAGGCCTCTGGAGCTGGACTAAACTTGCTTGGACCCACCCTGTCTAAGACATGAGTATGGTAGTGCAAAGTTAGCAGACGTGCTGCTGCATGTCTGCGGAGAGATAAGGCTTGAGTTGTGCAAAAGGAAGCAAATAACAACTTGYTTCTGCGTGCAAACCGGAGCAGCTGCGGGCTGCAGCAGCCATCCAGCCAGTTTAACTGGTTATGTACAGYGGGCCCGCATTCAGCATGAAATCCCATGCCTGAGCACAGCAGGATTTMAGAGATCACGTTCATGCAGCTGAACGGTGGCTCTGAATGGTCTTTTTCTCCGTGCCTGGTGTGTCTCAGTAAGGAATGAGGGTGCTCATGACTTGGTAAGTACACTGGTCCTGGTGTCATGGTCATTCAGGGGTTCAGAGCCACACTTGTCACTGCCTGAAGGGGAAAAATGGAAATAAATCTCACACATTCTATATTAAAACTGAACTGCTAAATCTGGTGTCCTGGGCTATTTGTCCTGTAGGGTGTAAAAAGTGACTGCTCATCCCTGGACTTTTTTAAGCCAACGAGTGCTTTGGAAGGGAGTTTGGGGGGTGTCTGGAGGAAGGGTGAGTGGAGTGATGAGGATTCCYCTCCCACCATGGCACAGCAATGGCAGCTCTGCCTCCCTTTGGAGGGAATGGCATTTGTGCACTTAGCAGCTCTGGGCTTTGGCTTCCACTGTTGTCACGTGCACCTTGGGAGGGTGCAAGGAGCAGAAAACACGTAAGGMATTTGTGCAGCCTCTCTGAGAGCAGCAAAACAAAGTGTGAGGAGCTGCTCTGGGCCACTGAAGGCTGGGAGCAGAGAGCTGGCATGCCTGGTCTGCAAATGGGCAGTGTGAGAGCTGGGGTGTCCTCTCATAGTGGCTTCTGCCCAGTGTGTCACCTGGCACGAGGACTCATCTGAAGAGTTTGGCAGTCACAAGGCAGTGCCTTGCTGCAGAGACCTGGTGGGTGTTGGCAAATGGGTGCCCCTTACAGGGGGACACTCATGAAAGCTGCTGCTTCCCCCAGCAGTTGATCCCGTTTTGCTCCACTGGCCACTGAGGGATCAAAAGGAGAGATGGGAGCACAAGGCGGAAACACAGGCACCTTTTCCATGGGGACAGTGATTTAATGCATGAAAAACCAACTGAGAATCCCTTCCTTGTGGTGCCAGGGAAAGCTTTCCTTGTGACCCTCTCCCTGATCACTTCGAAGTAAAAACTGTATTAAACCATGCGTATTTAACCAAGTCTTGCAGGTATAGGGTTGGAACTAGGGCAGGGAGTTTTCCAGAAAAAATGGGGAAACCCTTTCTAATGTGATTATTGCTTGTGAGCAGTGTCAGGGCGAGGGGAGGCAGAAGGCCGTGAGCAGCAGCAATATGGTCTTTAGCAGGTGTTGGGGAGAGCAGAATCTAATGAGAATCATAGAAACACTTGAAAGCTTTTTAACTCCATACAGGATTTTCAGGAGCTGTTGATAGSAAACAGTAGTGATCCAACTGACAGTTAAAGAGATGAAAGGAAGCCCTTTGGATTAAATAAGATTTAGGAAATAAAAGGATTAGTGCTAGACAAAAGCTAGATTTAGGGGTTTATTTAACAAGTGCAGTGTGGCATGATGGGATGTGGGGCATCAGAAGAGAGATGAAAGACAAAATAAAAAGACGAATGCGGGAGGTAGTACGGAGGAAAGGAATCAGCACAACGTCTCCAAAAACCCTTCACAAATCTTCTTATAATTGAAAATGGTACCAAAAAAAGTAGTTTTCATTAGCAATCCTGGCTTCTTTACATAGTAACAAGAAGTGTTACAATGACAGGAAATCTTGTGTGATGGGGCTGTCAGCTCAAAYCCCTGCCACAAGAGAGAAGAGCATACATTATCAACCTACTTACAGTTATAGATGCCTGGTGAGATAAAATCAGATTTAGGTAAAATTATCACTCTGTCAGATTCATAATTGGTTGTGCTTTCAAGTAGGGGCTGCTGAAGGACCAGGCTTGTTTGAGAGATTTCCATTTRGAGTTTTCTAGTGAAGTTGGTGGCAGTCACAGAAATGAGGGGTATGCACATATTGGTGGGGCCAGGAGCACAGAACTCCTCTGTCACAGGAACATTTAATCTTGTAGCTTTAAAAACAGGACCGAGAGTTTTCCAGAGCTCAATTTCTCCACTTCTGGTTAATCATCTGTGCCCATTTGTATTATTAAGGAGGAAAAGAAAATAAGAGAACATATGTAAGAATTTGACCCAAAAGGATCAGTTCTTCATTTAGCAACTCCTCCAGGGCCTGCTGAAGAGCAGTGGAGTGGCTGCCAGTGGGTTTGGCTTTGACATTAAGATAACATAGCCAGGTGATTGTGGATACTCTTGGCTTATGAAAGTGCTATTTGGAGAAAACACCATATCCTCTGTTCCAAAGATGCAGTTACTCCTAATTTTCAGGATATTAATGGATGTCTAATRCAGGTACAGATATCTCTAATGAGAAGCTATTAGAGGAAGAACAAATGCACTTTTTTTYYCCTCCCTTYAAGTCTCCAAGTAAGATTGGGTCCTTTTCTTATCKASGTGYAAAGGAAAATGTATTTTGTGGCCTGATTTTACCAGTATTAAGATTTTTACAAACAYGAGTAGTTACAGCTGGGCTAGGAAAGTTTATAGTGCTTAGTGAGCATTCACATTAAAGTAATCCAGATATCTGCTGTCAGTGTTTCTGGAAAGATGTTAGGATAGAAATGCTTCTTCAGACAATATTCCCTTTTCACTTKTTCTGCTACCATAGAGGAATTTTAGTAGGAATCGTAGCCTACAAATGGTAAATAAGTAACAAACAAATAAATGAAAAGCTAGGAAATGACTTTATTTAAATTTATTGGGAACCTCTATTTGATATTTTGTGGTTGTCCCAGAGTGATTTTGTCGCAGAATCTGAGTAAGAAATACAAATAAAATGATAGATTTATTTTTTTATTGCTTTGTATCTTTTATATTGCTCTCTGTAAAGACATGTGTGGTCCACTTCATTGCCTTTTCATKGAAGAGGAAGCTTGACTGAATATTTACAGACCGTGCCTAAGAGACATTTTATTTGTTCAATAAAATGCCCTTCAATATACTGAATAAATAAGAAAATTTTAATGATATTTTTTCATCCAAATAAGCCCTTTAATTTATTTTRTTAATGTTTTTGTCCAGTTGAGTGAAAGCAGTTAAAAGTAGTTTTCCTTAATGAGCTGCTCGCCACATTATTAATACAAAAGTAATACAGTCCCCATTCAGACATGATTTTTGAAGGTATTTAAATGTCTGCTTGGATTTGGCAAAACACCTAGCTGGATGGAGTGTCTAATGACTTGTAATGGTAGGGGGCATAAGTCAGCATCTGTAAGTGCTTAGGTACCCTTGAAATGGGGGTTTTCAAAGCTTGCTTTAAATAACTTGCCTGCAGCACCGGACYTCTCACCAGTGTCTTATCATTTCCAAGCAGATGCAATCAAATCCAAAGGGCAAAACTGTCAGTCTTTGGAATATCCTGCAGCATGAGCTCTTCCTGGTCTGTGAGCACTGCAGCCTTAATCATGCTGTGCCCTTGCTTTTCAGGGCCTGAATTTGCAGCAACAGYGAACAAATGTCCTGGAGCAGCAGGGCTTTGTTCATGTGTGCTTCAGGAGAAGGGTGGGTTTGCTGGTTTGGTTGATTAATTTTCCCCCCTCATTTTTAAAAATCTTTATTTATATGTGCCAAATCTGTTTTAGAGTGTCCATGTGACAGCTAGGAGCCACTTGTGGAATTCCCTTCCCTTCCCTTCCCTTCCCTTCCCTTCCCTTCCCTTCCCTTCCCTTCCCTTCCCTTCCCTTCCCTTCCCTTCCCTTCCCTAAATTTAAGCAGTTTTTCATAAGTACAGGGATTGCCAGGAAATTCTGGTGCAGGTTATTTCAACACTCCCATGTTCAGAGTTTCACATCCTTGTTCCAGGACATGAGGACAGTACTGCAAATATCTGCAATTATAACAGAGATCAGTCAGGTTTAACAATGGCTGATTTTCCAGTGAATATGTTGGTTGCCATCAGGGTTTCTGTTTGTTTTCAAATCTGAAATCAATTATCTATATGGGAAATATTTTCTTGGATGAGCAACATTTGGAAAATGTGTTTTAAAAATGAGAAAATGATGGTATTAACAAATGAGAGTTTGGGCATCATATTTAACAATGCCACTATACTGCCTTTAGGTAGTATATGGATCGTGGCTTTAACCATTATTTCAGAACATCCTGGAATACTAATTTTTACACAAATACATGTTTATGATAACGTATTCCAAACTTTGAAAAGGTTCCAACATTACGTTCTTTCAAAATTACACTTAATTTGAGTGTGCTCCTGCACTGCTCTCTTCTCTCATTTTTGTCTCCCTTTCAATTAGAGTGGAAGAAATGCCAAGATATTGTTGTGGTGTACTTGAAATTTTTCCACCARAATGTACCAGAGGTTTCAGGAGAACAGAAACTCCTTTTGTCCAGAGCCATGGCAGAATACTTATCTGTTGTCCAAATGTATCCCTGGAGACAGCCTTCACACATAGGCAGTTTTTCCTCGCTAGCAGCAGAGCTTACCTGGCAATTACTGCTCTCTGTGCCCTCCCAGCAGCTACCCTGACCAGCCTGGCTGCTAATGTGAGTTTGAGGGAGCTCTCACCCCGCTCAGACACCACCCGGTATCTTTCGACCCTAAAATGAAATTGGCAGAGCCAGCAACAGGCTATTCCACACAAATCACACATTATKAGTGCCACAAAACAAAATGGCTAAGGAAAACGCCTGTGGATTTAAAAAAAAAAAAAAAAATTCTGGCTTATTCATTCTCCAAACACACTTTATCTTCAGGTGATGTGGGTCAACCTTAGAAATTTTTTTGTGTTACTTTTGGGAGCTCTAAGGCATAAACTCTATGTCTTCAGACTGAAGGATCTAAAAGGTCTTTTCCAACCCAAATTATTCTATGACTCTTTGAATTTAGTTGTGTCTGTTTTTTTAGTAGACATTATAGATGAAAAAAAATTTTAATTTTTTTTTTCTGGTATGTTGTGCTGTGGTAAGCAGCAGCAAGGTGGAAGGCTGAAATCCCTGCTCAGATGGTCTGGCACTCTACGTAAAGGCATCAGATGAAGTTTGCTGAACTCATAGCCTCTCTTATATGAGGTCATTGTGAAGATTGTCTCATGCTTCTGGTGGGCTTTGATGTGAGCTGCAATATTTCTGTGATCTCAGCCGAGGGACAAGCTGGTGGCCCCACACTCAGCTGTGTGTGTGGTTAAACAYGAGTATAAACAAAGTGGAGATTTGCTATGTGCCAGACAAAGTCGCTTTCAAGTGTGCCCACAAACTCACAGAAAATTGCTATCTTTGGTTTATTGCAAATATGTACCAAAAGGAAGAGTATTCCAGGCTAAATAACATGTACTTGTTACCAGCTCATGTACCTTGACTGGGTGATTTCAGTCTGTGGAAGATCAGGTGATAATTCCATAAATACTGGTGGAAGGCTTTGAATATATTGTCAGCTTCATTTCTTACACATTAAAGGGTTTCTGAACTATTTTTT